CTATTTTTGTGTATAAAAACAGAATAGTAATCTGAATAAGATGTCCAGAAAATTACAACTTATAAACTCTATGATTCTTTCTTAACGAAGTGATAGTAGCTTGGGAGTGAAGATTGTATAGATTTAAGTTTTGGCTTTGAAATGGATCTAACCATAATGACTGAATTGTCCTCGAAACAGATCTTCTCAGGATATGGGATGAAGTACTTTGTGATGATGCAACTCCAATCGAGTATGCAGAGATTCTTGATAATCTGCGGCCAAAATATTGCGTGGGTCATTGATGGACAAACATGGATGAGGATGGAATTTGCTTGGTTGTGACTTTTAGCTGGAAAATCCGAGAACTGGTTGATTTTGATGTTTTCTTAGGTTGTTCCTTTTCTCGGATTTTTAATATTCGGCTGTAAATGGCTCCACCAACCAATTTACGAGATCCCAAATTCGAGATCTCGAGGTACTGCTACTACAATCATGTTTACAATAACTTTATGTTAGAAAATTTTAAAACATTTGTTATGAAAGTGTTTTTTTAGAGTATAATTTGATTGTCTATTGAGTTTTCAACAAATATATAAACTTTTATCACAAGTTATAAAACAGAATGATGATGATGATATTATATTTTACTTTTTAGCAAATTTTCTTGGCGTTGCTGATGAACCCAAATCGAAGAAGGTAAGGGGTCCAATGTTTCAAAGCCCCAAATCATTGATGACTTTATATAGTTGGCAGTTGTACTGAATTTTTTCATTATTTCAGACTTGGCCCTTTAAGAATCATTTGAGTTATGGTAATGTCACAGTCGGTCGAGAGAGAGAGAGGGAGGATGATGCCATATCACAAGTAGTGTTCTCTTCCCAACTCCACATTGACCAGTCATCCCCAGTTTTATGGTAATTTCACTCTGTTGCTTTCATATTAAATAATTTATCTACTCCACCCTATGCTTACAGTCCCTTTGTGGGACCTTCCCATATAATCTTTGCCCCACATATATATATATATATATATATATATATATATATCAACCAATCCTTCCCATATAATCTATGCTTACAGTCCCTTTGTGGGACCTTCCCATATAACTTCTAACCCATCAAACTTCCCTTGTTTGGTTATACTTCCATATATATATATATATCAACCAATAATTACCTCTCAATGATTGGTATATTATTTTTTATTGTATTATGGTTGATATTTAAATATCATTTATTAAATAATGTACGATCAACAAACTATAATATCTTCTGAGTCATTTTTTTTTGATAAATTTTTTTTACTATAATTTTTTTAAAAGAAAACTCTGGTTATGAACTATGGGAGTAGATTTATACACAATGCACTATATTATATTCTCTCTTTTAACTAATCTCAACTATGGCTTTGACTCCAAGCAATATTTTAAAGTGAAATCATGACTTAAAATGGGATTAGACTTGGAATCAAACCGCTGCCGGCTAAACTAATTGAATCTTTATAATAGTTAATTTGCCATTGGAATTATCAATGGAAATTCTATCAAATGTTATTAATTATTTGATTCCACTTTTTGGTTTAGTTCATTGAAAATAAAGTTATTGAAAAAAAACAAAATAAACATACATTTACAATTGTTTGTAAAAAAAAAGTTTAAATAAATATATTTTTACTGTTAAAAAGTAAATAGTTTAATATATAAAAAAATAATTAATTATTCTTGTTTATCATTCTAAAAAAGTTAATGGGTTTCAATCAGATTGGATTTCTGTATATATATATATATATATATATTTTAAAAGATAATTTGTATTTTTTATAATTAATATGTGTATTATTATTTAATAAATATATAATTTTTTTTTTCTTAAAGGAAAATTGAGGCAAGTTAGAAAAGAAAAGGCATTAATGGGTTGGTTAATTACCAAACAAGAGTTTTTTTTAAGATAAAGTTGAAAACTTTCCATTCTGTTATAATTAACATTAACAACAAGCTAGAAAAAACCAGAGTTTGAAATAAAGTGGCCAACTTTTCTTTTGGTTTCATGTTTGTTTTGTCCCAAAAAGTATGAGAAAGCATTTATCCGGTTGAAAAGAGATTATATTCAAATGAGCAGATGCTTACAGAACAAAAAAATATCACGGAGGGAAAAAGATTGGAACTTTACCAAGAAAATGTATGTTCTATGGTCCTAGTTTTTAGCTATGGTGGGTGTTTTGGGGAGCGGAAATCGGTCTAACGAGGTCTAAAGCGAAGGTCTTGGACAGACACAGTACCTTACTTTACCAGTCTAATAATATTATTAAGAAAACTGACACATCACGTGATTCTACTGTCTTTCTCCTTCGTCCTCGTTATATCATTTGTTCTAAATCCACGCGCCCTTTTCTCTCTCTCTGCTCTCTCTCTCTGCTCTCTATTTCTCTCTGATCAAATTGTTCTTCTGTAACGTCTATTCGTGTGTGCTTTGCTGCTTTTCCTTCTTCAAGTTCCATTTTTCTGGTTCTCCTCTCTTGCTTGCAGATCTGCCTCTGCGGGGAAAGGTGCGTTAATGTTTTGCCGTGCCTGTTTTCTAATGTGTTTTTTCTCCTGTTAAATGGATCTCTTTTGTGTTTGTTTTTTGAATTTAATGAGCTTTTTTGAAGTTTTTGTCATCTGGGTATTTCGTTTTCTCCTTTCTGTACAGTGTTTTGGTTTATGTCTAGTTACTAGTAGTATGTGTTTTGTTCTTATGTTAGTCTTACAATTTCTGCTTTGTCTAGCTGGTTGGTGTTAACATTATTGTTTCTAAGTCATTTTGAGCTCTCGCTCTTTTATTTTTCTTTGTTGCAATTAGGTTTCCAGAGTCTTGCTTCAGTTTCTTGCCATGTAATAAATTTTCATTTTGTTTTCAGTTAGGCGTTTTTTCCTTGTGGTTCCAAGCATTTTAGTCTAGCCTTCTTCTGGCTATTGTGCATTCTGTCTCTTACATATGGTTCATGGCTTTGGTGACTGGGTGAAAGATTTTATCGGGTCTCTTTTCATTTTCCCACTTTATTCACTGGTTTCTTCTTTGTTTTTTTGAGAGCGCACAGAAAATGGGGATCGTTTCCAGGAAGATTTTCCCAGCATGCGGGAGCATGTGTGTGTGCTGCCCTGCTTTGAGGTCTAGATCTCGCCAACCCGTGAAGCGTTACAAGAAATTGCTTGCGGAGATCTTTCCCAAATCCCTTGTGAGCATCATTATTGTTTCATTCTTCTTTATCTGCTCTCTTTTTGGGAAATTTCTTGATGATTTAGCTGTTTGACATGTAATTTTGGTAATAAAAGTTAACATTGATGTTATCATTTTGTTTCTGATTTGTCTAATCTAAGCAAGCACAGGTTTATTTGTTCATTCTTTGAAAACTAGTGGGTTGTAAATGATTATACTACTCTGTAGATTGTTTACGTATAGCATTCTTGATTTCGATAGAGATGGGTGCTCCATTTTTTTTCCTTGAAAAGGAACTTAACTTGAGTATGATCTTTTCAAACTGTATCATACTATGGAGCCTATTGCTTTAAACTGTGATGATGAAGTTAAACTCCGATATGTAATGCAGGATGGTCCCCTAAATGAGAGAAAAATTGTCAAATTGTGTGAATATGCTGCAAAAAACCCATTTCGTATACCAAAGGTGGTAACATTATCAACCTTATGTATGTTCTGTTGATAGAAATAACTTTTTCCTTGAAAGCAATATGAATGGCTTCATTTTTTTAATCTCAGATTGCAAAATTTCTCGAAGAGAGATGCTGCAAAGAACTTCGAGCCGACCACATCAAGTTCATCACTATCATCACAGAGGCTTATAATAAAATGCTCTGCTTGTGTAAAGAGCAAATGTAAGTCTAGCATATTATTGTTTCTTTTTTCTTTTTTTTTTCTGAATTTTTTTTGTAAAAAAACGACTAGACTGGTTTGACTATCTTTATATATTACATAATTCAACTACAATTTTCTCGGCTGAACTACTAATTGTTTAACAAATACCATTCTGTAATTAGCAAAGGGAATTCAATGTGATTTTTTCTTCCATTTTTCCGTCCTTGGCATTACTTGTCATCACAAACAAATGTTACAATGTGTGCCAGGAAGAAATGCATTCTTGGTGAATTCTCACCTGTGACTATTTCTTTTTCCAGAGCATATTTTGCTGTAAGTCTGCTGAATATCGTTAGTGAACTGCTGGACAACTCTAAGCAAGATGCTACGAGGATGCTTGGATGCCAAACCTTGACAAGGTTCATTTATAGTCAGGTAAAATTATGATGGAGCATGCAATCCTGCCTGAACTCTTTTGTTGAGGAAGTGTTATTCATATGTCTCTTTTGTGTTGCATTAGCAAATTTGATGTTGTCCAGCTGTCCACCCCTTGTATGTTGAGAAGTATGTATATATCAGTTTTATTGTTCTAAGTGACTTGCATTCAGTCTTCTGGTCCCAGAAAGCAAGGATTAGCCACATCCTTTTTTCTCTTAGTAATCAAATGTTGGGTTGTAGATGTCTGAAAACATTTTCTTTTGTCATTCAGTGTGAATATGATATCTATCCTAATCTGCACTCAGCTATTATTTCCCACATTCTGCTCACATCTTATCCCTCTAAATGAGCAGACAGATGGCACTTACACGCACAACATAGAAAAGTTTGTTGAGAAAGTCTGTAAGCTGGCACAAGAGATTGGCGAAGAACAACAAAAGCAATGTTTGAGGGCATCAAGCTTGGAGTGCCTTTCGGCCATGGTAACATGATAGTTTTGAGCTCCTTCATTAATTTTTGTTTTCTAATGTCCCCTGACCAAGTCAATTTGTTATTGTTATTTTCCAAGCTTTTTGTTTAATAATGGGCGATTTTAATTTTTAAGCTCTTATTGGTGTTTACATCTTTGTTGACTTGGAATATTGATTGATATATTTCTTCCTCTGTAGGTATGGTTCATGACGGAGTTTTCCTATATCTTTGCTGCTTTTGATGAGGTCTGCATGCTTAATTTACTTCTTCTAAAGCTACATTATGTTGTGTAGTATCTTTCAATTTCTGATGTAACTAGAGACATTTAGATCTTATTTTTGTTGATGGGATGATTGAATGACTAAATCTAGATAAAATATGTCAGAATGTACATGTAGGGTGATCAAACTGACGATTGCATTTTTTTTTCTATCACAAAACAATTGGTCATTTGTATTATCTCTTAGATATAAAAAAAAACAAAAGCTTCTCTTTTTCTTTTTTAATGATAGGCATTGTATTTACTGGTTAGTGTTCATAACATGCAGATAGTACATGCCACGTTAGACAACTACGAGCCAGACACAAGTAATGAAAACGATGATGAGAGAGGTGAGTCACATCACAATTGGGTTGATGAAGTGGTTAGATGTGAAGGCAGAGGTGGGCCTGGTGGTAGTGAGTCCAGTCCTAGCTGCTTGATGATCAGGCCTCGGCCTGAAAGAAAAGATCCTTCGCTTCTGACAAGGTATTCATTTGGAAGCTTATAAAGAATAATGGAACAGTTTCCTTTCACAATTTATTAAAAGTTTTAACACTTCTGTTGGTGCCATAAATTTCTTTCCAGTTTTCTTGCATTTGCTAACCCTTATTTCTATATAGAGAAGAGAGAGAAAAACCTAAAGTATGGGCTCAAATTTGCGTTCAGAGAATGGTGGAACTGGCTAAAGAGAGTACAACAGTGCGTCGTGTGTTGGATCCTATGTTTACCTATTTTGATTCTAAAAGGCACTGGGTTCTGAGGCAGGGCCTGGCTAATATTGTTTTGTCTGATATGTCATACTTGATGGAGAATTCAGGTATTTTCTTCGTATCATTTAGTTCTTGCTGTGTCAAGAATTATTTTCTTGTGCGAAGATTAGGATTAAAATTTGGATGTCTGACACTTGATTCCAGGGAATCAGCAATTGGTTTTATCTGCTGTGATACGTCATCTAGACCACAAGAATGTCACTCATGATTCCCAAATGAAATCTCATGTAATACAAGTTGCTGCTGTTCTAGCACGGCAGATTAAATCAGGAGCAGCGCAATCAGAAATTGGTTTTGTTAGTGATCTGTGCAGGCATTTGAGAAAAAGCTTTCAGGCCACAGCTGAGTCAGTTGGAGAGCAAGAGATGAACTTGAATGTCACACTGCAAAATTCTATCGAAGATTGCTTACTTGAGATAGCAAAAAGGGTAGTTTGAAGTTTTAGTGGAACATATATTTGTTGTTTTGTTTTCCTCCCAGTTCAATTGATTTTTTATGGTCTTTTACTAGATTGGGGATGCACGGCCGTTATACGACATGATGGCAATCACATTGGAGAAGCTACCATCTTCAGGAATTGTTGCCCGGGCAGCCATCGGATCATTGTTGGTGCTTGCTCATATGATTTCTTTAGCATCCTTGTCCTCACAATCCCAGCAGGTTGACAAAGGATGATATGTTCTCCTTCTTCTTCATTCCTTCATTTTTTTTTTTGGGTTTTAAGATTACTTCTTTATATTTTTGGCAAAGTATACAAAGTAATTGGGAACTATTTTAATACAGTTAAGTAGTTAAATGACTTCATATTGCCATATTTTGATCCTCATGTTCAAACAATGGTGAAATGTAGTTTTTGAGCTCTAATTTAACCAATTACTGTTTTCTAAATAACAGCATATAGCTTAATTAGAGATTTTAGAATAAACATTTAGACTTGGGCATCTGTCATAAGTTGACTACGGTATATTTGTCTGTATCCTCTAGTCCTCTTCCAGTCCATTATTGCAGGTTCTAACCATGATTTTGTTGTTCTTTTGCCCAGGTTTTTCCAGAATCACTTCTTGTCCAACTTTTGAAGGTCATGCTGCATCCAAACATCGAGGCACGTGTAGGAGCACACCAGATCTTTTCAGTTCTTCTTGTTCCAAGATTTAATCATTCTCGATGTGAAGTTGCATCTGTACGATCTGGTTATCTCTATGAACAACGGAAAGGGCGTTCAGATACTGTATCAGCATTTGCTTCTATTACAGCTCTACTTGAAAAGCTCCAGAGAGAAAAGGATGGTCCAAAAAAGGATAAGAATGGGTATAATGTTCATGATGATTTTAAAGGATGGGACATTGCAGAGGAAGACTGGAGACAGGGGCGTGCTCGCAAAAGTTCCCCTAACTTTTACAAGTTAAGCTCTATTATTGACAGGACTACTGGCCAATCAAGCATCGCTGATGTGGTAAGCAGTTTCTCTTTGTAAGGAGCTCATAAGTGCTTATATGTAGTTAGTTGTAATATATTTTCTCCAAGTCTTTGATTTCACCAGTCCATTTCTTTGATCTTTGCAGGAACCATATATTATGAAGCTCACTGAAGATCAGATTGCACAGTTGCTATCTGCCTTCTGGATACAAGCCACTCTTCCTGATAATTTACCTTCAAATTTTGAAGCTATTGCTCATTCTTTTGGGTTAACACTTGCTTCTTTACATTTAAAGGTGATATTCAAAATTTCCATTCATACATTATGTTGCCTCAATCTTTTTGAAAATTATTTTACTGTTGCTTCTGGGGGATCATGCTAGTTTTGAACTGAACGAGGACCTGGTTGAATGTTCCATCTAAAAGTTGATTGATCAAGTTGTAACTTCATCTTTCTTTCAAGTAATCATTCCGTGATTATGTTAAGATAATTTGCATTCACCACTGTAGATCATAGTCAATGCCTATGACTTCTTTATTCTCGGTCAGTCCTGTTAGTCCATAATGCCTACGATTGCTATCAGAACAGTTGAACCATTTTTATGGTGTAAAGATGCTCAATTAAGCTCCAGTGTAAATTTTTACTTTGATCATTAACAGTTCTTCAAATATGTGATGTTGCAGAATCCAAATGATAATCTCGTGGTTCAGTTCTTTCAGCTTCTCTTGTCCCTCAGGAACTTAAGTTTGGATCCTCACAATGGTATTGGTGACTTCTTAAGAAGCCATTAAATTTTTTGAGTAAGACATATGATTAATATCCTTTATCTTCTTATCAGGGATGCTGCCTCCTGCATGCAAGAGATCTATTTTCGTTCTATCAATGGGCATGTTGATGTTTGCCGCTAATACATATCACTTTCCCGATTGAAGGACTGCTCAAGTCGTAGTTTCAAGTGATGTGAGTTTCTTTCTCGTGATTTTTACTTGTGTGTCTCATCCAAGTGTATTTTCTCATTTTTATTAAATTTTTGGCAAATACTCATCAAGTGTACTTATCTTTTTCAGGTTGATCCTTTTCTGGGCATTACAGATGACTTTCAAGTCTATCTGAGACATCATGCGGACGTGAGAGAGTTTGGATCTCTTAGCGATAATCAGATGGCTACATCAATACTCTTTGAGTTAAGGAACAAAGTACATGAATCTGACAAGCTCATAGTTGATATCTTTGTTCGACATTTGTCTGCCATCACCGAGGTATAATATTTTAGTATTGTGTTTTTGGTACCTGTCTCTGTTGAAGGCTTTTTATTGGTCTTTGTCTAATTTTATGTACTTACCAAGATGGAGGATGATGATGTGCGGAGGCAACTGTCTGAACCATTCACACCCGATGATGCATTTATTTTTGGTCCACGGCCACTTCTTGACTTGGACCAGAATCAAATGATTTCCCATTCGAAGGAGTCACTCTCCTTCGACGAGGTACTGTCTCAGTGACAATTTTTATACCTCGATAATTTAAATGTTAAATGATCTAATTTCTTGACACAATTAAACTACTTACAAACAGAAGAATTGCTTCTATATGTGAGAAAATAGATTGTGGAGTGGCAAACTGAAGAGCATTGTTATTATTTCTTATTTAACAGGATGTTCCAACGAGTACATATGTCGAAGATGATGCAACTAGTGAAGTGTCTGTTGCTGACATCTCCCGCTTCATTCCTAGAATGCCTCCTTCACCTTCTATCTCTCATGTTATCAGCATTGGGCAGCTTTTGGAATCGGTACACTTTTCAAAGTCTACCCTCTCCTTTGCATGGACATCTGAAATTTGCATATGAAGAACCTCTCGTCCTTGTTTTAATAATTGTGATGATGCATTTTTAGGCACTAGAAGTTGCAGGTCAAGTAGCAGGAACAACTGTCTCTACATCACCACTCCCTTACAACACCATGGCTAGGCATTGTGAAACATTTGGAACAGGCACAAGGAAGAAGCTGTCAAATTGGTTGGCCCACGAAAACCATCAAACTAGAGGTTCTGGCAAATCTCTCCCGACTTTTTTCCCTGATGATGCGCGCTTAGCACTTAGGAAGGTAAACATGGTTGATCGCGCCTCACCCGAAGTTCAAACTGATTTTATTCATTAAAGCTTTCCGTATCTAGACTTAATATCATGTGTTGAAATTTTACCGGTGTTAATACAGATAGCAATGGATAGCGGGCTTGTTGGAGGCATTGAGTTGCCAGGTCAAGACCCATGCTTGGCAATGAGACTGCCTCCAGCCAGCCCTTTCGACAACTTCCTTAAAGCTGCCGGGTGTTGAAAAGGAAGAGAAGCCAGGAATTGGATCGTTGTGTATGGTGTGTTTGAAGTGTTGTAAAGTGTTAGCTAAAGGGATTAGCAGGTTAAGTAAGAGTTTAAGGCATCTTTTGACTTGAAGTGTAGTAGTGTGAACTATCTACCAAAACAGTGTGTAGGAGGTTGCTTTCTAGTTTAGCCATTGTAGTAGCAGTGCGTATGCTGCAAATCCCCCCGTTGTGGTAAATTATTAGATGGGAATTTCATGTCCTATTAATCTGAATTAACTTAAAGTAGCACATACATACATATATATATATATGTGGATATGCTAGTTCTAGTTAATATTTTGTTAGAAATAGGAGGAGAAAAGAGAGATTAATCGAAAGACTTAATCTTTTTTTGTAGTTAGCTTGAAAAAACCTTTAGCACATAGATATATATATATATATATGTGTGTATTAACATAACTTTTAAAATTTTAAACGCATGTAGTATGAGAAAGTATGATTTATAATCATGTTTAAAGTGTAAGAAACCACTTAGAAAATTTAAAAGATATATTTATAATCTTAAGACGAAGGGTTTTTTTATTGTATAAATTATTTCAACAATATATATATATATATATATATATATATATAGATTACTAAGATCACTGATAAACAAATTAGTAAGCTTGTTATCTTCTATTTACAGCAAGGGGGTTGCAGACTTTACATGTGATATTCCAATTCATCACTAAAACCACAGTCTTCTTGTGCATGAAGTTGATTTTGAGAATTATTATATATATATGTGTGTGTTTTCATTATAATATTGTTTACTTCGTTACTGGTTATTTAATAATTAGTAGAATGTATTGAAACAAATTAGCCAAGGGTAAGAGCGGTGCACTCCGGCTGACAAGGTCCCGAAAATGGTCCAGGAGAGGCTCTGGCTACGGCTGGGACCTGCACATTGACCCCTCATGCCCGACCACCTGACCTCACTGGTTATTCTCTGACTCACTCCCTGCACCACCCTGTTCGATGTCTAAATTAAATTCCAACCCAAAATTACATATAATAATTTAGTCAGTAATAATAATAATAATAATAATAGGAATATCTAGTGAGGCAACTGCTTCATAATTATTCATATTATAATGTCTGCGAGAACAAAGTTTAGCAGCGCTCTGACTAGTGGCTTCTTTCTTGCATCGATTAGTACTGTACTCTATTCTTGCTTTTGCTTCCTGGATTCTTTTGTATTCGAACCTCTTTAACCTACATACATATACATATCAAGTGTACTACTTACCATTATATAATTCAAATAAAAGCTGAAAATTATACCCAATACCATACTAATATGAGGGTATATATAAATGTAGTCAAATCGAAAAGTCCATGCATTCAAGGTAAACCAGAAAAAACTGGCTGTAGTAAATAATATATGTGTGTGTGTGTGTGTGTATATATATATATATGTAGATATAAGGTGCATGTGCTTTTAATTTTGTGATAAATCACAGTCAAGCTTTTGTATTCATCATTGATGGACTTGTCTCCCTTGTCTTAGCTCTTTCTTCATGCGTGTTGAATTTGTCCATGCAGCGGGTCGCGGACGGTGCTCGAGCTCCTCTCTTTTCTTACGATCAAACAGTATAAAGCACGGTAAGGTGGTGGGAAAATTAGCTCCACCATTCTTTTTTTAAGTTCTTGTGGGTCATTTCCATTTTTGGAAAAGAGAAAATTAATTTGTTCATAACAACGAATTCATAAATTTTCAAACAAATAAATACAGAAGAATCTATATGTCTCACACTTGGCAGAGCAAATTATATATGCTTTAGAAAGATTGCGACCCTTTATTTTTATCCACATATAATATGATTCTGAATATTTAAATATATATATATATATATATATGGATGTATATATATCAATTATGTGTACGTGATCATGTGATTTTACAAGCGGGGAAAGGTGGCGGACAACAACATTTGTGTTAGGAAATTGATCTGCGTGTATATATACATGAGGTCGTGATGTATAAAGCTATATATGGTATCTGTAATTGTATAATGTGTGAATACATAATATTTATATGTATGTACATTTACGTGATACCTACTGGACTGCTTCTGGTTTATAGTACCGTTCACGGGAGAGACCCTCGAAAGTTCTAGTGGAAGGTATGATTAATTGTAATTATTTGTGTAGTCATATACATACATACATACATATATATATATATATATATATATACACATTACCCTGTGTATTAAAAAAATGTAACTATTGTCGAGTGGTCGTATTCATGGACTAATTATTGATCTTAATTTTTTAGGTTAGTGAATTTTTTCTTGTAAACATTATATTATTACATCAAGAATTTCCCAATGGAAATTATGGACCTTTAAAACAGCACGTGTCCATAATCATGGAGTTATAATTAATAATTAATAATTAATAAATCTGTAATGCATATACAACTAATATATCTAATATAAGTAATATATTTCGACTAATTAATTATTTAATTATTAAAAAATAAGAAAATAATTACCAATTTTTTACGAGATTATCTATCATCACTTAATCACTAATTATCTAACCCTACTTATATATTCCAAGAACATCAATGATTAAGTCTTGAATAATATGATTAGTATTAATAATTGAATTGCTAATACAAGGTTTTATCTTAAAGCCTAAGATATTGTCACATCATGCATTTTGTTTCTCCACTAATCCTAGCTTTGATATAGTGCCTACCTAATATAATATATTGTTTTCTAATTATTGTTTAGAAGTTAATTTACTATAATCGATGTCTTAACTCGAATCTATTTTGTGTTTTATATAAATATTCAAGATTAAATTTTGTAATTGCTAATTTAAAATGATAATAACGAGAGAAAGCAATAATAAATTGTATAATATTTAAATAGATTAACGGGTCTCTCAAAAGAAAAAATAAAAAATTATAATTATACCACGAACTATATGTACTTATATAGTAAAATCTCAAGTTATGAATAATTTTTCTTCTTAATTAATTAATACCCTAAATTTTGTGTGATCAACACTTGATTTCTCATACGACAACCTTATAATTAATTAGGATAATAGTATAATAAATTGTATAATATTCAAATAAATTGATGGGTCTCTCAAAAAAAAATTGAAAATTATAATTATAGCACGAACCATATGTACTTATATAGTAAAATCTCAAGTTATGAATAATTTTCCTTCTTAATTAATTAATTAATACCCTAAATTTTGTGTAATCAACACTTGATTTCTCATACGAAAACCTTATAATTAATTAGGATCATAGTATAATAATAAATCGATGACATAAACGAAAATTTCTTAGCATAATCTTGCAAAAGTAATTCATTAATTATGCTTAATAAACAACATCATTAAATCAAAATTTGTGTGGGGAACTGCTGTCATCTTTTTTATGATTAAAGTGGAATTTGAAATTGTGTTAATTAGTTAGGAGACAATTTCACATTATTACATAACAAAGCAATTAAGGCTTTTAAATAATTAATTATGAAGCTCTATGTATATAAGCTTTAAAATCATATATTTATATATTATTTTTCTAAAAGAAGTCTCGAGCGAAAAATATTTGAATTATTTTGTGGATTGATGTCGTTCAAATCTTAATACGATTATTTTATTCTTCTAAAAAATATATATATAATTATCTTAAGGTATTAATTTTAAATTACAATAAGTAAATAAGTAATTTTATAAATAAATAAAAAAATATATAAGGGTTTTATTAATATGTAAGTTAATTATAATGGTTAAGCTAGAAAACTTTAAAAACGAAAGTAAGAACTTTTTCCAAACCCTAAATTAGAACTTCGTTGCACTATACTTAGATATAAAAGCGAAAAGAATTAGATTTTGTCATATAAAACATATTTGAGTTTATTACGTTATACATAGAGAGTTGTGAATTTCGGAAATAATAAGTTTGTATTAAATTTTAAAAAGTTTAACGAATTTTAAATCAGAATTTGATAACCATCGTACCTAAATACCATGTATATCACAAATAAATATCATGTATTAGACTTCTCATGGACATTTATATGCATTATTAAAATTTCTGAATACTTATATAATATTTTGATTTAATTGAATTTCAAAGAAGCTTTGGTATTTTATTATAAATTTTCGATTTAACGTTACGGGTAAATTATCTTAAACTTATTATTTCAATTCTATTAAATCATTAAATTATTTAATCGCTTTTTAGCTATTTATGAATTATATTTGTTTGAAAATTTATATTATGTATAATTATTATTATGAGTTAAAAACTTTGTTATATTTTGATAAGTTCAAAATCAATGAATTTGATAAAATTATCTGTTTCGATAAAAATAAAAATATGTTTTATTTAGTTTAGCGAGAATAATAAGTGGTTAATAAACTTATTATGAAATTCAATATAATTATTACCGGATCCCGTTAATAGAGATAAATATAGCACGTAACGTCAAAAATATATTTGTTCGTGGCTTTGATATAGAGATTTTGAATAATAAGATACACACGAAGACTTGTAACGTGTAATTAATGCAAGAGTAAAGGTAAAAGATTACTTGTATTTTACACTGGTGTTTAAGGAGATACTTTTACTTGACATTCAAAGGGGCATGGTTAGTGTGCTAAATGCGAGCAAACTTAGCATGAAGGGTGTTGATCGAAAGCGAATAAGCTTCAAATGAAGCTTTGTGAATGAGAAAACTTAGAGAGAGAGAGTTGAGGAGAGAGAGGGCAACAAAACAGAGCAAGCTTATGCAATTGCCTCTGTTTTGCTATTTTGAAGAGGCGTGCCCTTTTGGAGAAAAGAAGTAATCTCTTCTTTTTATTTCAGCATATATATAGAAATACAAATTTAAATAGATTACATCAATCAACCGATCAAATCAGATCGACCGAAAATCATGCATACACATCGCATGGAATTTTACGTATCCTTCCGTGAAACAACTTCACGGTGGATTTTCTTTTTTTGAATTTAAACTCAACAGAAAAAAATCATTAAATTTAACACTCCCCCTTAATGACTTTTTTCACTAATCCCACCTTTTTCCGCAATTCCTCAAATTTAGCTTTAGACAGGGCCTTGGTTAGAATGTCTGCAAGCTGATCATCAGTGGAGCAATGTATCAGCTTTATTTCTTGATTCCTCTCAGCCTCACGTATAGCATGATACTTAACGTTGATGTGTTTAGTTCTCCTGTGTATTACAGGATTTTTCGCAATGGCAATTGCAGACTTGTTGTCTACATACAACACTGTAGGTGTTTGTTTGTCCAGCTTTACATCATTGAACACCTTCCTCAACCAAATTGCTTGGTTAATTGCTATAGCTGCGGCTACATACTCAGCCTCAGCTGTGGACTGAGCCACAGTATCCTGTTTCTTATATGCCCATGAAAAAATACCAGAGCCTAGTTTGAACAAGTACCCAGTTGTGCTACGTGCATCTTCTACGCTTCCTGCCCAACCACTGTCACTGTAGCTGACTAATCCACCATCAGCTCTTGCTTTGAATTAAACACCAAAATTCCAGGTTCCTTTCAAGTACCTCAGCACATGTTTGGCAGCTTGTAAGTGTGATTCCCTCGGTGAAGCCATGTACCTTGAAAGTAAACTTACTGCAAACAAAATGTCTGGTCTGGTAGCTGTGAGATACAGAAGGCTCCCAATCAGACTTCTGTAATTCCCCTCTTCAACTTTACTATATTTCTCGTCCTTTGACAATTTCAGGTTGGACACTAGTGATATAGATACTGATTTACAGTGATTCATGTTGAATTTATTTAGAATTTCTTTGGTATACTTGCCTTATGAAAGAAAAATACCCAGGTTGCTTTGATGAATCTCCATTACCAGGAAGTAGGTAGCCTCCCCAAGATCAGACATCTCAAATTCCTTTTCCAATTTCAGCTTGAACTCTATCATTTTCCTTTTGTTGCTGCCTGTCACCAGTATATCATCAACATATACTAAGGTGATAAGACTGTCTTCATCTCTATTCACATACAATGTATTTTCTGTCATGCTCCTCTCAAACCCACAGTGGAGTAAGTATGTATTTAACTTATCATACCAGCCTCGTGGAGCCTATTTGAGGCCGTATAGGGCCTTGTGAAGAAGATAGACGTGTCTCTCCTTTCCAGGTTGAATGAACCCGGTGGCTACTCAATATAATTTTTTTCATTCAGCTTGCCATTCAAGAAGACCGATTTCACATCCAAATGCATCACACTCCAACTAAACTAAGCTGCCATGGCCAGAATGAATCTAATTGTTTCATATCTGGCCACAGGAGCAAAGGTCTCTGTGTAGTCGATTCCTGGAAGCTGGGAGTACCCTTTTGCCACAAGCCGTGCCTTGTGCTTGTTTGTTGTCCCGTCCGGATTGAGTTTCACTTTGAACACCCACTTTACTCTAATAGGTTTTTTGTTTGTACTTGATTTTACCAGAGACCAAGTATTGTTTTTGTCGATCGTCCTGATTTCCTCTTCCATGGCAAGTCTCCACTCTTGCTGCTGAAGTGCTTCCTCAACAGAGGAAGGTTCTTTTGAGGCAAAGCTACACCTCTCATAGATGTCAGTTAGACTTTTCATTTTTATTTTCTCTTCTGCTTCACCTTCTTCATCTTGTTCATCTTCTTCATCTTGTTCATCACTCTGAGTTGGGTTTGATACTATCATTGATTTCTTTCCTTCTTTAACTGTGACACAGTCTCGTTCGACTTTCTGCTTCTCCCAATTCCAGTAGTTGTTTTCATCCACCGTTACATTTCTTCGAATTATAAGTTTGTTGGTTTTCATGTTTAGAATTCTATATACTTTTGCTTTAGTACTGTATCCCTAAATACTCTCAATTCAGCCTTCATTTCTAGCTTGGATCTCCTGTCATCCGAGACATGGCAGTAGCACACGGATCCAAACACTTTTAGATACTTAGTTGATGGTTTGATGCCACTCCAGGCCTCCGCCGGTGTCATCTGCTTTACAGCCTTTGTAGGCAGCATGTTAAACAGGAACACAGTAGTGTTCACTGCCTCAGCCCACAAGGCTTTAGGCAGGTGCTTGTCAGCAAGCATGCTTCTTGCCATTTCCATAATGGTTTTGTTCTTCCTCTCCGAGACACCATTTTGTTGAGGAGAATATGGTACCGTGAGCTGCCTTTTGATCTCATTCTCATAACAGAAATCATTGAATTGGCTGGAATTGAATTCAAGCCCATTATCTGTCCTTAGGCACCTCAGTACACTACCACTTTCCTTCTCTACAATAGCCTTGAACTTCTTGAATTTACCTAAAATTTGAACTTTATTCTGCAGGAAACAAACCCAAATCATCATGGAAAAATCATATATGAACAAGCCAAAATACCTGCAACCACTCATGGAGTTTTCTGTCATTGGACCACAAATATCAGAATGATAAGTGCCAGCTTCTCTTTTGCTCTCCAATCTGTTTGCGAAGGAAATGAATTCCTTGCCAATTTCCCCATATGACATGCACCACATACTGTCTCAGTGACTGCAATATTTGGGAAGTCCTTGGTTAGACCTCCCTTCTGCAGTTGTTGTAGCCCAGCCGCATGAAAATGCCCAAGGCGCCTGTCCAAATCTCACCTTTAGTTACAGAGGCAACACTGGCCCTCTCAACTACTTCTCTGAGTTTCAAGGAGTAGACTTGATTCTTCTTTTGGATGAAAGCAATCAAGCAATCCTCAGGATCATATATCCTGCAGCAGTTATCCTTGAATCCCACCGAGTAGCCTCGATCAGTCATCTGATTCACACTAAGAAGATTCTGTGAGAGGGTAGGAACAAAATTTACATCAGTGATAAGTTTTCTACCTTCATTAGTTTCAATGGCTATGTTGCCTTTGCCCTTGATGGTTTCCAGCATACCATTTCCAAGTCGGACCTGGCCTGTGATTGTTCTGTCTAGTGATACGAATAAGCCCTCATCCTTGCACATGTGGGAGGTACATCCACTGTCCACCACCCAGAGAGTATCATCCTCCACTGGCGGCTTATTTAGCGCAACGAGAATTGTGTCACTTGGCTCACAGGACAACTTGGTGATATTGGCTTGCAGTTGTTCCTGCTTTGGTCATGATCCTTCCTGCTTCTGTTTCTATCTACAGAATTTTTCCTTGTGACTAAACCTTTTGCAAAAATTGCACTGAACGGTTTTCTTTCCCTTGTACCATCACTCATTTTCTGAGTGATTTGTCAAGGAACAGATACTGCACTCAGAATATTTTTTTTGTTTACTGGAATTTTGGTTTCCAGTTTGATTCCATTCACTCATTCTTCCTTGAATCTATGTTGAAGAGCTGCCTTTGTTCTGAGTTGAAATTAAGGCTCCCTCTGTATGTTGTTGAACATGCATATTTACCCGTTGCTCACTGGATTGAAGCTTGTTTATCAGCCCAGCCGAAGAGATAGTCTCAATGTCTGCAAGTTCCTCCAAGGCTGAGATTTTAGACTCGAATTTGGGGGGCAAGCTGATAAGAATTTGCTCTACTACCCTTGATTCCGGAAAATCCTCCCCAAGCAGTCTCATTTTGTTTACCACGTCCGAGAGTTTAGATGCATAGTCCTTCACTGATTCATTTTCCTGCATTCTGAGTAATGCAAACTCACTCTTCAGTCTCAAGATTTTTACCTTCTTACTTCTGACTCCCCCATCGAACTCTTCCTTAAGTTTCTCCCAAGCAGCCTTTGGTGATTCGAAATTCATAATTCTTGAAAATACCCTATCCGAAACGGCCGAAAAAAGGCAAGCAATTGCCTTTGGTTTCTTGGCTTTATCTTCCTCGTGCCTTCTGATTTGGTTTATAGTGGCAGTGTCCCCTGGTGGAGGAGGATCACTGTCATCCAGAATAACATTCCACAGACTTAAGGCTTTCAGATGGACTCTCATTTTGATTGCCCATACATGATAGTTTTCTCCATTGAAGTGTGGAGGGGGTGTTGTTCCAGTGAATGTCATTGGATTTTTTGATGGTATATTGGTTTACCAGTCCCTTAAGATAACGGCTCTGATACCACTTGTTGATCGAAAGCGAATAAGCTTCTAAGGAGGCTCTGTGAATGAGAAAACTTAGAGAGAGAAAGTTGAGGAGAGAGAGGGCAGCAAAACAGAGCAAGTTCATGCAACTGCCTCTGTTTTGCTGTTTTGAAGAGGCGTGCCCTTTTGGAGAGAAGAAGTAATCTTTTCTTTTTATTTCAACATATATATATAGAAATACAAATTTAAACAGATTACATCAACCAACTGATCAAATCAGATCGATCGAAAATCATGCATACACATCGCATGAAATTTTACGTATCCTTCCGTAAAATAACTTCATGGTAGATTTCTTTTTTTTGAATTTAAACTCAACAGAAAAAATCATTAAATTTAACAAAGGGGTTGGGTTTGGTGTTTCTTGTGAGCTCATTGCTATTTAGTGCAGGTAAACAGTCCATGGCAGACAAGAATTCGAGCATACTTAATAGCAAAGGTGATGTATTATATTTATACACATTCACCGTCTTCATTAACCATTAGGAAAAGAACAGAGAAAGTAAAAAAAAAATGATAAGAGCTGGAAATATATGTGTGTATGCATACATACATGTGTGTGTGTGTGTCATGTTCCCATTAGTGGGTAGAGCAGTAATTATAAGCAGGAGTACTAAGAAAAATGGTGAGTGGAAAATAGCAGGAGATGAACAGTTCTATTTACTCATTTGTTTTCTTTTCGGGGAGGGAATCCATTTCTTTATTTATTTTTTTTCTCCAATGGGTCACTCCAGCTCCTCAGTGTACGGAGCCACTCAGTATCTGAAACGTGGCCATGAAAACTCCTCCTTTCATTCTTTTACTTACTTTTTGAAAAAATAGGTACCTATTCATACACATGGATGGATTATTAGATTTGACCTGTATAAATACGGGCTGTATCTATTTATCTATATCTATTTATATTGTATTATCGTATTCACTCGTCAATAATGCACCACCATCGACGACGACAACAACAACAACAAACAACATCATAAACATCCAACTCTTTTTTTTTTTTTTTAAATCTAAAGAAATAATTTATGACTGTTGCAGAGCTTGATCTCTCTCCATCCATCCATCCATCCATCCATCCATCCATCCTCTTGCAATAAAGCAAAGTCGTCGTCCCCCAAATTCTCTCTTTTCTCCCTCTCTGAGTTTTTCTTGGGAAAGAAAAGCTCAGCTCTCGTCTTGTCTCGTCTCGTCTTTTTCACATTCATAAACATCACCGATACACTTTTCTTCCTCACCAATCACTACTCACTCCCCCCACCCTTCACGCTCTTTTCCTTTTCATCTTTTTTGAGCTTTCTTGTCTCCTCTCCAATGGCGGCTACCCCCTTCACTGTTCACTCTTTTCTAGATCACGGTTTTTCAGACACTAGCTACCTATAATAATGATGCCTTAAAAGACCCAGATCTTGGAGAGAAAATCAAAGCATGGTTAATTCTTCTTGAAGTAAATATATATATATATATATATACACATGTACCCATATAGAGGGTTACTACTGTAAATGGAAGAGCTGTACCGGGTTGATATGGGCACCAGCGGGCGTATGGTGAGATCGGGTGAGATTAATTATGGAGCAAGTAGTAGTGACCGTCAGTGCCTGCATATTAGGTCTTCTGCGGAGGAGGATTCAATGCTTCAATTCCAAGCTGCTCACGTCCATGGAGGTTCGCGCATGTCTGATCTCGTCAAGACCCAGATCGCCACTCACCCTCGTTATCCTCACTTACTATCTGCTTACATTGAATGCCAAAAGGTCATCATCATCAAATATACACATATTTATTTGCAATTCCACTAACATATGCACTTTATGGTGTGTCTCACATTTTTGACAAATATATTTTAGGATATATATATGTACATAAATATATCTACATATGTGTGTATGTCATGTTTTCTTTTGTTGATTATGTTTTTTCTCGCGTTGTATCTTCATCGTTGTCCTCCACAATAACGAGAAAGATTTTCTCTTCCACCTGACTTATTAAATGCTTTTATCAAACCTTAAAGGGTTATATATATGCATATACACAACACAAATTGATATATGTATATATGTATATATGTGGATATGCATATTATATCTTAATATGGGTCTGAAGTATGTTTATATATGTGGTCGAGCAGGTCGGGGCACCGCCAGAAATGGCGTCTGTGCTGGAAGAGATCAACCGAGACAGCCAGTACCACTACCCCATTAGTTCTTCTTGCAGTAATATTGAATTAGGAGCTGACCCCGAACTTGATCAATTCATGGTACGATTAGTATTATCAACACCAGATTCATTACCCCTTCAAAATTCTATCTTTTCGTTCTAGTTGACTTGGAGACTGTTTGGTCAACCAGAAAACCTGAAAGTAAAAGGAAATTAGTGACATCTCTGAATATTCATTTGTTACTGTTTGCTTCTTAATTATGAACCATCATTGATCTCAAGTGGGTTTAATGGCCTCTCTTCTGTCGCCAATTATGCATATAATACAATCTATATGTAGTTAATTAAACTAAATAGATTAAGGTTAATCTGTCTAACTATTTTTTTTTTCTTTTTTTCATAAAATTTATGGGAGTTAGGAATCATACTGTGAGGTTTTGCATAGATACAAAGAGGAGTTAGCAAAGCCGTTTGATGAAGCTACCTCGTTCTTGAGCAGCATTGAATCAGAACTAAGTAATCTTTGCCAAGGATTAACATTACCCAAGTCTTTGGATTATCGCTCTGGTGAGTTTTTCTCTCTGTAATTAATTCAGTACTATCAAAATTAGTTGAAACCCCTTCCAGTGCCATTGATTGATCGGTGCCATTGATTCTTGTTCCAGTCATGTTTACTATTCGAAGGACTTCTCCAACAGTCTTAGAAATTAAAATAAGCTCATTACTTGACTGGCTAAGATCACACTGTAAAAATAGAAGCACATTTTACATTAAACCACTAATCAACCTTCATCATTTACACCATTTTTAACTGAACTTGCTGATTTTGAGATCTTTCTATTCCTATTTTGAACCAATGTTCATGTTTAGGATTTGATTATGATTGTACTAGTCAAATTCATTCACCCGTCGGGTAATTGAAATTCAGATAACGATTAAAATTAATTTCTTATATAAAAAAAATCAGACCCACCCAATTACATGTGTTCATCAATTGTAAATCACCCAACTCAGACAGGAAATAGTTACTTTTGACTCAAATAGAAAGTTGTAAGTTTGAAAAATCAGTCCATAACACCTTTAGAATCTAATACATGACATTAACTTTACCTTGAAACGTACTCACAAAAGAAATAAAAGTCAAAATTTCTGTCCACAAGTGTCTTCTTGTAGGTTTTCTATTATGAATCTTTTGGTCGTTCGGTTGGACTGGTGATCAAATTTGATATGAACCCGGTCCGTCTACCATCTCCCAGAATATCTAATGAGACTGTCACTTTATCTGTTTATTAGATCACATTCTTTCTCCGTTTATCCTTAATCTCCGTTACCAAATTAAACACAATCACATAAATAATGAATATGCACCCGATAATATAATTATATCTTAAATTCTAAAATCACACAGTGGTAAAGTAATACAGTAATACATGCATTTAAAACTCTAAAATCAGATATCATCATACATTTAAACTCTAAAATAAATCAATAGGAATTAATAGAGAACAATGTCTGATTTCGGGTTTCATTAACAATTCGTAATTAATTATGCATATTTATCTAATTTGTATAAAAGATCGTATTATTATTTATTTAAACTTCACATTTATGATAGGAAATAGAGTGAGTGATCCTTATTTGATTTGACGCCGAAAATTAAATGGTTACTGGGTATAGGGTTAAGTTATGATTTTATATTTTAATTACTTGGTTTAATTCTTGTATTAAATTTTTTAATTTATAATACGACCCTTAACGCGACATTATAGATATTATTAAACAATTTTAGGTTAATGTTTGTTTCTTTATAACTTTGTGAGTTTGAATTTAATTGTATTCTTTACTTTGGTTACTTTGCACTCCATATGTTATTATTATTGTTGTTAAAAGTAAGAATAAAAATAATAAAAGATGTTGATTATGTATGTGTATATGTATATATATATATATATATATATATATCTTGGTGACATTTTAATTCATTTTAGTGCACATATAGACACAGAAATACGTGCAAAAGTACATATATATATATATATCCCATATAATTGTGTTATTCTTTTTTAATCTTGGCCATATTGTTTTGAACAAGAGAGACAATGTGGAAGACATGGGTGTCGAGTAATCAACGCTTATGTTGGGACCGGGACAATTCATCATGCTTTGAGTTGTTCGTGTTTCATAAATTATTGTCTTACCCTGTGAGAAATTGTTGCATGTTCATTTCAAAATCTGATTTTATATTATCAACCCCATGCATATTATATATATATATATGTGTGTGTGTGTGTGTGTATGTATCCATCCTCACTAATGGGACCAATTTTAGTTGTTTTTTTTAATAGTTTGGCTTGATATATTGATATAATATATATTCGTTATAAACTGAAATAACTTCCATTAAAAAAATGTTGTAGTTCTCCTAACCAATTATTTTTGCCTTTTGGTAATCCAGTTTTCTAGTAGTATAAATAAGTTGTGTGATTCCCTAAAGATAATTATTAATTTATGTATATATATATATATATAGAGAGAGAGAGAGAGAGGGAGAGAGAGAGAGAGAGAATGAATGAATGAACTATTTGATTCCACTTAATTTGTTGAGAGAAAGAAGTGAAGTGATAAAAATGCTAATCTTGATTTTCAGATGAAGGAGGTGGAAGCTCAGAAGAAGAACAAAGTGTTGGAGAGATAGAATTAGGAGCAGCAGATCAATCATATCAAGAATCGTCAGATAAGCTGCTGAACGATCAAGATATCAAAGGAATGCTTCTAAGAAAATACAGCGGATACCTCAGCAGTCTCAGAAAAGAGTTCTTGAAGAAAAGAAAGAAGGGTAAGCTCCCAAAAGATGCAAGAACGACTTTGCTGGATTGGTGGAACAACCACTACCGTTGGCCTTATCCCACGGTAATATATATATACCAATGATTAATATATTATATAAGATTGACGTGTTGAGCTACTTTCTGCTAAATATTAGTAGTTAAAGGTAATGGGGTGATGATGGATCAGGAAGACGAGAAATTAAAGCTGTCGAAGACAACTGGTTTAGACCAGAAGCAGATAAATAACTGGTTCATAAACCAGAGGAAAAGACACTGGAAACCTTCTGAAGACATGAGATATGCTCTCATGGAAGGTGTCAACACCGGCACGGGAATGGCGGGAGCTCTTCCGATTTACTTTGATACCGAAGGAGCTGGTGAAAATGGAAACCAATCATGATGATGATGCTTGATTAATTTTCTGCTATACTTTTGTATATCTCTTTTCCACCACATCATTATAGTTTGTTTACTAATAATAACAAGAAGAAGAAATTCGTATGTACGTAAGGTATTGTTATATAGCTACATATAGCCCATAGGTTCTTCACTTAAACGTCGTATGTAAAATAAGTATGCACGTATACATACAGTATTATAGTATACTTATAATCATACTGTAATTCTTTCTATTCTATATATGTGTATACATTACTTTTATTAGTTATCTAGATGTCGTAGTGAAGTATATGTACAAAGTTTTTAAACTTGATGTACACCCATGGCTTACGTATTTGTTATATTCTACGTACAACTACATAGTTCTAAATTAGAATCTTATATAGGAGTCACTACAACTTTGTGCCTTGTGGTTTTGTATATGTATATATACGTATGTATACTTTTTATAAAGAAGATTGATGTGCTTTGATCTTAACCAGGAGCATATCTTCCTTTCTTTTCCTCGATTCCCAATTAACGAATTACTACGAATATACATATATGCTGACTATTAACAGTAGCAGCAGTACAGAAGCAGGCATGCTTGTAAGTTCAGCCTTTTAAAGTATATATGTATATATGTGTATATATATATATATGTATATATATGCTTTAAGAGAAAAAGAATCTGCTGTCGTTTAGGAGTGGTTGATCATTGTCCCATCACTGCAGAAATATGAGTTTTATTGCTCCAGTGCGTCAGTATATATAGAATTCAGGGGTTCAGTATTTTCTTTAACCTTGTGGAATATAGCTATTCAAATTTTATACAAAAGATATATATCGTCTTCTTCATTTAATTTCTTTTATCTTTGTTTGGTTTAGAGGTTGTGATTAAGAAAATAATTACTACCTAACAACATAAATAAAATTATAAAAACTTGAAGAAAAATGACTTAAACAATTTTAGGGTATGTATTAAGTATGTAAATATAAATAAGTTTTATCCATCAAATAATTAAAATTTAGGGTATGAATGAGAGTAAAATAGGTATAATACTGAAATTCAAAGTGGGCTGAGGAGCTTTTGGAAATGATCGATACTGGTGACAAAGGCATGGAGTCATTAACAGTAATGGGCTATTTGGGGGGACTCCATGGCCAATTCTTATGTGAAAACAAAGTAAGGGTTCAAATAATTACAAAAGTAGAAGAATATAGTTCTAAGTTCCAGCAAATCCAACCACATGGATACAGAATTAATAACAGTCAATTATGCTTAAAGATCAGATTAAAGATAGAAAGCAAGCTTACTTGATGAACTCAAACACTGCAATTTATAGTAATGGAAAAAATATCATTGCAGAATAAATCCAACATAAAGGTTTCTTCTCAGTTGGGGGAACCTTTTATTTGTCTCCTCTGTTTTTTTTTTTCTTTCTAACTTCCATTCCCCAATACCCAATTCAAGATAAGTTCTATACATGCATATATATATATATATATATACCTCAGAATCTAACAAAATGGGGAAAAAAAAGACATGGTTCACCAGAAAAAATGGAGGAAGCTGATAAAATAGATGATATCAGAAGTAGAAGAAAAATGTCCAGCTTATATCACAGTTGCAGTTGTGGACTGCATTAGTTTTGATCCAAACTAGTTGGTGATTTCAAGTTCAAGTAAAGAAGTAAAAGCTAACTGCTTCCTCATCTCTGCATCTTCAAAACTCTAAGAACACCAACAAACAAACCCATTTGTTTTCCTTTGCACAATGATCTACAAATTTTTTTTTTAAAGGATAAACACATATACATATATACATTTATTCTATTATTTGATAAAATATAATACATTTATTAAATATAATCTCTTATGAAAAACATTTGAGACTATATAGTCTAATTCAAACCTATAATTTACATTAATCATTTAATCGAGACATTAGTCTACAATAAATTTACAAATTCGCTATAACTATGTTCGAACTTTAAACCCAGTATATTAAATACTGCAAAATTGTATATGTTGGAAAATTTTAAGAGATTAACTAGTTGTACATAATATTTTGTTAAAATTGTGAAGAAAAAGAAGAACTTTCAGGTATATTGGTATATAGAGGTACCAACACTACTTTAAAATTTCTCAATATATGTTGTATTCATAAGTATAATTCTTTAGTAGGTCAAAAAGTTCCTTTAATTTGTAAAATATTATAAGATAAAAATCTCTTAATTTGCAAGTTATTATTTTCCAATATATATGTATATATATAAGACATGACAGAAGAACATGAATGAGATGCTGTAAAATATTATGAGCATTTATAAGTCCTGCTCAAATCTTAATCTTAATGTACAGATTTTATCCTCAAACACTTAAATGAAAGTCAAGACATGTGAACACAGCATTGATCGTGAAAATTTGAAGGATGGAGATCTGATTAATGTGTTTGTGCGGGTACATTACATGTCATCATCAAGACATGCAAATTAAGATCTCATGATGATCAAATAACATCGATCATTAATATTCTCAAGGAAAATTTCAGAAATCTTCACCAGTTTTCCGAACTGGGTATTTTTCTTCACAACAGTAAAATGCAAAAGACACATATGTAGTAATATATAGTACTTGGATGGAGTACCATAACATGTTAGGCGTGTCTGAAAATTAACATATATAATCTAATACCAGGGAGATTAATTAAGAGAAAGTGAGAGAGATAAAGCTTTCATGAGAGCTGCTCTTCAAAGGTGAGCTCCTCAATCATGCTACCATGAGTGATGAGAGGATTGAAACTTTGAATCTCGGAACACTTGTTTGGAAGAATTCTATGTCCAAGATCTTGATCAAGCGGGTGTTTGGACATGGGCAATTTGCGAGCTACCACGACTGAATTGATTACTTCGTCGGTGGGATGATGAACAGACAACGCCTCAAAGCCTCTCAGATCACAGGTTTCCACGATAGGATAGAGAAAAGCTCGAGCGCCATGAGCACTCCGCAGCATGAGGATTGAACCAGGAGCCATGAACTTAGCCAAATGGTCAATGACTCGGACCTTTTCCTCCTTGTCCATCCCCACCAGAGCGGCCAAGAAAACGACGTCGTAGTCCTTGAGCTCAGTCGTGACATCCATTATGTCGCAAGTGTGGAAGAACATACGAGAGGAGAGGTCGGGATCAGGGGAGACCAAGCGTTGAGCCATGGAGTTGGCAGAAGGGTCGATATCATAGTTATGGAAAGAAGCCTTGGCGAGGTGAAAAGAAGCCAAGACGATTGAGGTGAGGGGGAGAGGACCTGAACCCACGAAGGCAACTCGAGTGGGAGCATGGAGAACGTGCTGGTTTAAAATGTTGAATTCAAGGTGACCGAGCTTGAGATAGTTGGAGTAGTAAGGGAAAATGGTGAGATGGTGAAGTGGGTTATCATCAAAAGAAGCTAAAATAGAGGAGAAGTGGGATTCAAGAAGAGTCTCGGCTTGTGCACAGAGCTTAATGAGTTTAAATCTGGTTTCTTGAAGGGTACTTGACAAGGTGTTGACATCAATTGGAGTTGGGGGAATACATGCGTGGACGAGCTGGGTGAAGAGCGTGTTGACATGTTTAGATGGCTTTAGACTGTCGAGGCTCGAGATTTGCTCGTACAGCTCGCAAATCTTTTGAACCAAGGCCTCATCTCCACAACCCATGTCGACACTATGAGCTTATCAAAATCACACTATTCTATTCAAAGTTCAGACAGACAGAGAAAGAGGTATGGGGGGGGACAATTTTCAATCCAACCCCTCCATCTGCTCATTATTTATTGACACCTGTGGGCCATCCCTCACTTGCATTAAATATATATATATATATTCTATTATTATATTTTTCTAATTATATGAATAAATTTATACCAAGTATCTGATAATTAAAACTTATTATTAGATTTGCATTTTAAAGTTAAAACTTTTATTATTTCATACGAATGTTGAATCTCAATATCAGTATTTATCATAACTTTTAAGGGTTACTATATACTTATGTAGAAATTTATATATATATATATATATATAGGTAATCAGTGCTTGAGCTACACATGCCATCTCCAGCTGCAATATGACGCGATCACTATGTGCTTTTGGAGACATGTATAGTAGTAGTATACTATCTAAAGACATTAACAAGGATTTTACATTGTTAAACAAGAGAATTTTCGAGGACCCACCTTGGTTTTATGTATGTATGTATGTATGTATGTATGTATGTGTTTATATATATATATATATATACATATTCTTGGAAGCTGTGATGACGTTCACGATCCCAATGCTGATCAGGCATGCACTTACATTGTCACCAATAAATACAATCTTCCACACTGCAGCTATTCATCTTCCTAGAACAATATGAGTTTGCATTACTAGGTTAATTCGTGATAACATGAGAAATACATACATACACACACACACACACACACACACACACACATATATATATATATAGTGTGGGTTTTGTATATTACATCAACCCTCGTGTGGGATTTATGTAATTTGCCTAAATACATAATTTTTAATAATATACGAAGCTCCACTTGTGTTGTGCAAAGTAATTATATAGGTCCATACAAATTAAGTATCGATCAAGTTGAAACGTATTGGACATGATTGGCGATTGATTGGTCCATTTGTCTTTTGGCTAACTTTGAAAATAACCCAATATTATATTTTACAAACCATTCTAAATTTCCAATTATGTTCTCCAAATCCAAAATCAAAAATGCACCATACAATTTTTTTTTTAATTATACAAACCAAACGATAATAATACAAAAAATGGAGTGCATAAGAGATTATAATTATTTAAAAATTCAGAAAATTTCACTTTAATACTATATAATTGAAATATTTTTCGAATAATTATCTTGTGTTTCAATTTTTTGTAAGTGGGTATGCATATAACCCATTGATTTGAATTTTGAAAATGACCCATTTTCCTAATATGTACATACAATAACATATATGCATATACATATATATATACATATATTACTTATACATAACCGGAAATTAACAACTACCACTCAATGGGAGGAAGAGAAGTACCATCGAACTACTTCAATTATCATTGAAGATACATATAAAAGTTTAGGAAAGTGAAAATATAAAGTATGTTTTTCGTGAAATTAGTAGTATTAGTTTATGTAAAATTTATATTCGTTTAAATAGAGTTGTAATTTACGTAATAATTTTAAAAAATTATATACTTATACAAATTTTGTATGTAATGCATACCTCTCAATAGTTGTACAATTTTTTTTTTTTTAAAAAAATGATTGGAATGCAAGAAATTTATACCAAAATTTGTGGGACCTTAAGATAATATATAAATATATACAAGGTGGCCTTCCACAAGTTGGATGGTCATTTAGTATATATGTTGACATTTTTCTTATCATATGGTTTAAAAGGCGAATGTTTATATCTCGAAATATTCTACTTTTAGTCTTGACCAACAGATCAAGTAGTGGTTTTCTCTGTTTTTGTTTTATAATATTTATATACACACACACACACACATATATATATATATATAATATTATATACGTGTATGTATCTCCATATATCTTTAACTTTTCTTTTTTCCTTCAATTTCAATGGTGAGAAATTAATGAGGGTATCGTCAATTTGATGTCTTTAAAGTAGTGGGCTGCTCATCAATTAGATGCTTCTTGTACTTTTTTTTAGGGTTTTCTGTTCCTAGTTTTGACCTCCATTCTCAAAGCATGCACCTCGTAGATTCCTTCTTATAACTAGTGACACATGGAGAAGATAATATCCGACCCATTTTCTTTCCAAGTTTGTTCTAAAATGTATTCAAATTACATATATATATATATATATGTGTGTGTGTGTGTGTGTGTTATGTGCGGTTAATTACGAAACTTAATATTATTTGTAAAGCAAGAGCATTGAGTGATAATGAACAAACCCAATTGGCCACTTCAATTTCTTCAAGAAACAGAAAAGGTTGGCCTAATGCGACTACTCGACGTCGAGATTTGGAGTATCTTTTTAACGTGTGGGCAATCGATTTTCTTGAATTCACTTTCATTTAAATAGAAACAAATTTTTTGTGTATATATATATATATATACATACACATATATGAACATGCACACATATGTGTATATATATATGTACGTCGTCTTGGGTATAACTTGAAAATGATGGTGTTGAAATCAAAATAATGTGATTTTCTTAATAGAGGAAGCGTAATCAATTCTTTCACTCAACTTAAGATTGTTCTTTTCACAAGTACTGCATTATTTATATGTGTATTCAAGATGATAATTTTACTGTCTAACCCCAAAAAAAATTGGAACATGAAATTATACATCACTATATACATCTATACGTACATATATATATATATATAGACACATATAAGGGGGTAAAAATGGAACCAAACACTAGGGTTCTGTTGGGTTCATCTTCTTTACTTAATTTGTTTCTTTATTGTGATGAGAAAATGCTGAAGCAAAACATAAGACTAACAAGAGAGGAGGCAAGTGCATGTTGAGAATGGCTGGTTAAGAGTGAAGTCAAAAAAGAGTTGTAGGGCATATATACTTCAAATCTGTGGAAGCCACACGACACCAATGGCCGAAAAGGGACCACCACAAATTGAAGTGCACAGAGTCTGATGCTTGTGAGATTGAGACTCTTCTCCTCTCATTCTGTCCCTCAACTGTCCTTCACAAGTTATTGACTAATTTTGGAATGATCACTTTAATTTTGTTTTTGTAAGATATTTGATTGTATTTTCCTCTTTATACAAGAGGTTGTGAATTATATGAATTTCTTATAAAATCATGTATTATTTTAAACAATTATCGGGATGATTTGAGATAAAGTTCACAAAACCAAGTGTAACTTTAGAGCAGGCTGTGAATTTTGTAAGAAACAAGAATTAAGTGGTTCAATACAAGTCAAGGCTGTGAATTTGGTAGTATACGCAAAGGGTTGGTGTCCATCCAAATAGGGAGGCTGTTGCCCTGTTGCTTTCTTGATTTCAATTGAAATCAGATCTTTGATGGGTGATGGCTTCTCTCAATTTAATTTCTACTCTTCTTTGCTAATCCACATTTTTGGATTGTACCAACATTCAAAATTTGGCCTTCTCTTTTTCTTTTATTTTTCTGGACATACTGTTTTTTCCACTAAGAATGGGATTGGGTTTGCAACAGTACAAGCTTCTTCCGGTTTCAGTCTATTTCTTTTGTGTTAAAAAGCTATTTTGTTTTCCCTTCTACTTTAATGTCTCCTTCAATTCCTCATCAAATTTGATGAGAAATTGAAGGAGACATTAAACCAAAGACAACCTAACTGTATTACTCGTGGGAAAAATAGTAGTGCCGCACTGAATATACAGGGGCAATGCAGTTATTTTGAGGGAAAAGTAGTAATCCCACAGTAGAACAAATTTCTTATATAGATATGAGCTTTTGTCAACTGAATCATGTCCATAGATATGGTATATTTGCAGTCCAGTACCATATTGGTGTTGTTGCAAGTGCAGGGGCTAAGTTCCACTACCATGGTTCCACTCCCATGTTTGGCTATTCAACCTATGATATCGGACAAGTTTTTCTACTGTAACTTACTATGAGATTTTTTCCTCGAAAAAACTTGCTACAAAACCTATACCGAATAAAGTCCTAGTATTGAACAAACTAAAGAATTCTCTTCCAAAATCATGCCTTTATGCCCATGAGGGCGATGCAGTTCAAAGACGAAGTACTTCCCTGAGACCTAGACGAATACACAGCTTCAGACATGTCCCAAAGATCTGACACTCATCCAAACCCCTGGAATCTGATGAAATTCTCCAAATCCAGGCACGTTCGTAACATCCCAAAGATATATAATAGATATAGCATTGTCACGACATCCTTGTATTAACTTGGAAAATTAGTAATTGGTGTATATATTCTTTAAAAACATAACAGAATTGTCCTTTCTTCCATGCACCAAACGAAACAGTGTGTAAGTTGTAAGGTCCTAGTGTTGTGTCATACTGTTTATCTAGTGTTTAGTTGGAATGCAACTGTATTCTCCAATATCCTATTCCTGTTTGCTTGCATATTCTTTTATTCTTCCTGTACACTTTTCGGCTGTGAGATCGTATACTCTTTTCCTATGGTTGTTCTCCACAAACCAGATGCCTGGCGGTCGGCAGTTTTATGTCTAATGTCTTACAATGCAAGGGTCTCAAATTCTCTGTTGCGACAGTCTAAAGAACTAGAATTTCTCCAATGGTTAAACATGCTTCTTCAACACATCAATAACATTGTTTCCTGGTACAGATTTCGTTGCCTGGATTTTCTGCTCTTCACATTCAAGTAATAGGCTAACAGCTTCCAAATCTATAATGAGAATAGTAACATCCTCATGTAATACACTTATTTTGAATAAACCTCATGGTAGCACACTAGTTAATGTATAGATTTTCACAGCACTAAAAGAGTCACTAAAAGCTCTTCATTCGGGCAAGGCCCAATTGTTAGCCCCTGCTACTCAAAGTCTTAGAATAAGTGCCTATTAAGTCCATGAGACCACTTAAAGCAGAACAAATAACAACGTATAACTCCTCCTTTAAGCCCTTCTCCCTTGGGCTTAATCCACATCAATCCCCAATCATAAGATGAAAGTGCACACACGTATGCATGTACGCATACAAAATAAACGCATGACACTCTTTCAGAATGATCAGACCAGTGCCTGAAACTTTTACCTTGTATCTCTTCAATCCTTATTTTGGTTCCTTTTTTCACCTGTGTTATTTGGGCTTTTCAACTTAAGTGCCATTCCAATGCCAGCATGACATGATATAGTGTGGGTATGGAATCTGCATCATGTCACTTAATGTGCATGACGAAACTTGGTGATTTAGAACTAGAAGTTATAATATATGATAACATGAAGTGGTGAAGAAAACTGTTTAGAAATTGCAAAACAATACAAAATGAAACTACTATATACTGTTATGCATATATTATCATTACGGTTTCCAAAGAGCTTATATTAATCTTATTATTTTTATATCAATTGAATCCAAGTGCCAGTGTTCAACTAGTGTACTCTTATTGACTGAGTTCTGGCACCTTTCACAATAAAAAAAATAAAGTCAAACACTTGGATCCATTCCCATAATGACACTTGCACCAGAGTCTGAGTAGCATAGTTTTTCAAACAGAACGACAAGAATATAGTATTATGAGTACAGGATAGGTTACTAGGATTAAACAAAAAGGAGGTATAAACAAATCAGGCTAAGTCAAGAAGTATAGGGGTATCCTTCTGCTAACTAATTTCATCAACAACTATATACAGAAGATAGATCATTATAATGTAGCTATACTGTATCTGTATTGAATAAACCTTAATTTAATATATCGAAGAATAATGATAGGACAAGCCAATAATATTCCCCCAGTTCAAATTCACGCACCTTGGGGATGCCTATGAGAGGAGAGTCAAGCATTTGAACTTTGGGAGCGGTGCTTCAAAGTTCATTCGTACGAGCTTCATACGCATAGGAGTCCTCAGAAACTTCATATGATGGAGTTTCCTGAACCACTTTTTCGACTGATTGAACAAACTGAAGCAAGTAATGGACTCCGTTAACAATGTCGTAAATCATTAGTCCTATTCTACCACCAACCCAACTGCCCAAATGACTTCCCACAAGATAACCAAACCTCCCAAACCTTTGCTCTCCAAGGAGTCCAACAGCATAGGTCCCAAGAAGGGTTCCCGTACCCCTAAGACAACCTTCCGTCATGGTACCTCCAAAGTATATAGCTTCAAAAAAGTCCCATCCAGAAGAAATTAGTGGACCTATAATGCGCTTGGCTTGACGTGTTGCCCTCTTAGCTGCTTTTGTTCCTGCTATCTGAGCTTCTTTAGCAGCATCTTTAGCAGACATGCCTTGTGATAATGCATCCGTTAATGCCTTCTCAACTGCAAGATTCCTTATTCTCTCAACATGAGCAGATCTAATGTTGTAGAAATAAAGTTTAACACCCTCTTTCACTGTGCATGCTAGAGTTCCAGTGCTCATGTCAAAACAGTTTAAGAATGTAAACTGCCCACTCTGAGATGAAGCCTGTTCCCCAACAAGTTGCCTGCATTTTTCAGCTGTGACAAAAAAGAAATCCGTACTTGAGAATTCTACCCTTAAGCAAACAACGTCAGAAAATGCACTTGAGCAATTAGAGACTACGAGGATAAAAAGAATCATGCAACAATCATATTTGCACATAATCACAAAACATGATGCACCAAATAAGATGAATATAAAAGTTTGAAGCTAGAGGAAGAAACATAAGCATGCATCGAGTAGCCCATGGACAAAACTATGCTAAATCAAACTATACCCTCTGTATATTCAGATTATTTCCAAACAAACATTACCTACAAGGAAGATCGACCGTTGATACAGATTCAGACATTCTTGGTTAAGTTAAGAAAAGTATCAACTGGGTTCGTGGTATTACTTGGAAAATGGGGCACATTATTTAATGCTTAAAACCAATTCAATTACTTTTTTTTTTCTTTTCAGGCTTGGCAACATACCTTGCCATCAATAATTATGACACTGATCAGAGAAATATGCATTTCTATAAAATGCACAGCATGAGTAACCTTTCACAATATCTAATTGAAACACCATGAAATTGACAGCCAAAAGAAACCTCTCCTTTCAGGTGAGAATTTCATAATCGCGTCAGCAATTAAAACAGCAAAACACAGTAAAATGTCGTCATATAGAAATAGTGCGTGTATGGACATGCACAAGGAACAAATATGTGTTCGTATGTGTTCGTGTGTGTGTGTGCATAAATGGGTGTGAATGAATTTTTACCTGTGAAACTGAGGACGACGATACCGCCGATGAAGAGAAATAGCCAGAGCCTTCTCTTCTCGATGACCATGGTGTCCGGCGAGAAGGACCAAAAACTAACCCGAACCCTAATTAAATTTTGGGTAAACTAAACAGAAGTGCTAAAAGGTACCGAAGGGAGATGGGGAAAATCAATGGAATTTGAAAGCGTAGCGAAGAGGAAAAGATCTAAACAAAACCATGTGAAGTGCAGTGACAGATTCCATTTTTGAACGCCTTTATCAGGGTTAAGCTGTGTAATGATTAATTTACACGCGCGGTTGACCAACAGTTACATCACCGTTTCAAGTTCGAATTTCTGCTTTCCAAAACGACGCCGCTTTACTCTTCAACCAGACTTTCTTAAATCACACCGACCCCGTCTAATTTAATATTTTATATTCTTAATCTTTCTTAGGAGCTAAGTTAAATTTTATTTTCTTAAGTATAATATAATATTATATTATTCTCACCTTAATTAAAAATATTTTCTTTACCATGATAAGCGATTTTTACATACATAGTTTTGACAATAGCCGAGTTGAACTTTAATACCCTTCAGCGACATTTCATCAAACACCTTATCGGCAAGAGACACGCACGGAGTGTTGAACTTCAATACTCTTCTCCCGCATTCTTTCCATCACTAATCCGCTATACCAAGTATGTTTACTAGCAAGCAATTTACCAAAAGTCCACCACCCTTTCGTGTCTTCCATGAAATCTCCATTAAAGTTTTCAACTTTGCACAACCCATCAATCACAACATATAAGCTTTAACACAACCCAAATGGGTCTTCAAATGTTTTGTTACTATTAACAGGACAATAGTTTGAGTTGACTGATAAAAAAACAAGATTTAGACCATGAAACCTACTATTAGCAGGACAAGTAACAATCAAAATTATAGTTTTAAGTATTTTATTACAGACCAAAGTATTGCCATTGGCATTTTCTCTTTCTCTTCATGGGTGTGGAGTAAGAACAAAGCAACCTCTTTTTTGTTCCTTTCTATTTTGGATAACGCATCTTTTATTTATTTACTTTTACAAATTTTGTACCAGAAACTCAAGAACATCTTCTTCTTTTTCTTCTTCATTTCGGAACGAGTACAACACAGTTCGAAGAAATTTCCAGATCTGGGCCTACACGAAAGAGCTATTTACATGATGGGGCATTCGTAAATATTGCAAAAACGGAAGGACAATATGGTCAATTCAGCCTAAAACCCGGCAAACACAGTTTAATTTTTTTTTCCTTTTCCTGATCATCAAAAACAACCAAAAGGGTTTATGCAGGGCTTTACCCCCCAACTCCACAAAACCTCTTCACCAAACTTCTTCAATGGCGCTTCCCTTTCTCCAAAGTTAGGGCTCTCCAGAACCGTAAATTACCCCTTTTGCCCCTCGAGATCCCTCTGTTGTTGTTCAAAAAACTCCCTCCCTATGCTGAAGATACTCTCTTCCTCTGCTGCCTCCTACAGGACTCGGTGTCTCTCGCCAGTTCCTCGAGTCGGGCCCCGGCAGGCCACGAGTCCGGTTCTCAAGGCGCTGAGTGAATTCTTCGGGTGGAATCGCGAAGTCGGTGTCTTGGGCCGCCGAGCCTTCTTCTGCACCGATTCTAGCGATGGTGGTGGGCCTGAGTCCGTGGTGGAGGTTGAGGTGAAAACTGCGGAGTCCGAATCCGAGGGGGCCGAGTCGAAATCATCGTCTGCTATCGTGCCCACCAACCCTAGGCCCGAGGATTACCTTACGGTTGGTTCATTTTACAAAATTCTTTTGTTTTTTGTTCTTTTAATGTTGGTGCAGAAGTTGAGCTAAAAAAAGGATATGTGTTAGATTCTCAGAGTTGGGGAGTGTTGGATGGAATTGGATTCTGGTTCTTTTTGGTGGTATGATGAATTTATCGTTGCTAGTAGAAAGAAAACTTGGGATATTGAATATGTCTAGAGGAGTAATTGATGAACATTGCTTATAAACTGAAGTTAGTAAATTTACCTAAATATTTGCTTTTTAATTTGCATTTCACAATACCTGAAAAGAATTTTTACTAAATGCAACAATAAGTGGTATCTTGTTGAAATTTTAGCTTCAGCTTTTTACTCTCAACAGAAGTTGAAGCAAATCCAAATGGTCCCTAAGCTCTTATGCAACTAATATATAAATGTTTCTTGGGAGAATTTAGAAACAGTCTTCTGCTATTCTTGAAAGTAACAGAAGTGCTTAACCAATTCATGGATTTGACCTTCTATTAATTTATACTGAGTACAACCCTTGGTTTTGATGTTGAGATAATTTTGCGTCCGTCTTGTAAGATTGACTTGCGTATTAGAGACCTACCCAGTTAACATATTGCATTTTAGGTTGTCTTATTACCATTCTTTCTATTTTTACACCATGATTTTTCACTTAATTCTTGGCAGGTTTTGGCGCTACCATTGCCACATAGACCACTTTTTCCTGGTTTCTACATGCCAATCTATGTAAAGGTATGGAGGTTTCGCTCCTATATATTAAACATAAAATTCTTGCAGGAGGATGGATTTTACTTCTGCTATATGTTATCTTATTGAACTTTCTTATAAATCAATACTTTATGGTTGCACCATTTCAATGTAGAAGTACCTTAGCTCAAATCAATAGGCATGTTAATATAGTGCAACTGCTAACAATAAAAATGTAAAAATGGACATTTGCCATCCCAGGCAGTTCAAACATTATGATTATCTATGTTGTGGTTCAGCCAATGTAGATCCCGTTGTTTAAGGCTTTATTTAATCCCCACATGAACAAAAAGTTAGTCAGCTGTTGAAATTTGAACTGGTGGCATCTTGCAAGGACTTTGGACAATCTACCTATGCTATAATTTCTATTAGTTCAAAGTTATAGCCATGATTAGCTGAATTCTTGTGTCAAAGGCCAGTCTTCTTACAGGTGTATTTTCTTCTGCAGGATCCTAAACTATTAGCAGCTTTACAAGAAAGCCGAAGACGCCAAGCTCCATATGCTGGTGCTTTCCTTGTTAAAGATGAGCCAGGGACTGATCCCAGTACAGGTGCAGGTTCTGAAACAGAAAAAAATGTGCTTGAACTTAAAGGAAAAGAGTTATTCAATCGTCTCTATGAAGTTGGCACACTTGCGCAGGTATATATATATGTTGCTCTGCAATTCTTTTTAAACTATAGTTTAATAACCTTAGAATTCTACATGAGTTTGAATAGAAAAAGTAAAAGTAAAAAGCTGCTTATGTAGAGAAATGGCGATAATGAAAAATGTATATAGCAATTGTCCCTTGTTTATTTGTCATTTCATGATGATGACAACTGCTTTTGGTAGTTAATCCTATGTTTATTTGTAACATGAAATTCCAGATTTCAACTATCCAAGGTGACCAGGTTATTCTTATTGGCCATAGGCGACTTCGGATCACAGAGATGGTAAGTTGGAAAAGAAACTAAACCATTGTTGTTTTTTTTTTTCAAGTTTTTGTGGAAACTCTACTAGTCAGTGCTTGCATAGTGTTCTTGGCTGCTATGGCATTCTTTTTGCAGTAAAAATTTCTTCTGACATAATTTTTGCTTCTGTACAGGTAAGCGAGGACCCTCTAACTGTCAAAGTTGATCATCTCAAGGTATATGGTTAATCTATTGTCAATTATTATTATTTTTTCCATCTTGACATTTTATGGAGAATTAATAATTCCAACACCATGCCATAAATATTTTGCTAACCTTGTCCTTCAATTGGTTTGTTCTTCGTGGTACAGGATAATCCATATAACAAGGATGATGATGTTATAAAGGCTACATCATTTGAAGTTATATCAACCCTAAGAGATGTTTTGAAGACAAGCTCCCTTTGGAGAGATCACGTTCAAACATATACTCAGGTTTGTTCTCTTTCTAGGCCAACAATTTGTGACTGAAAAAGAGTACTTCAAAAAGATTTTTCCTTTCTGATAGTTAAGATTAGATTAGTGGAAAGCATCACGGTTTGTTATGATAATTTATATCTTTCCTTATAACTGCAGCATATAGGTGATTTCAATTTTCCAAGGTTAGCAGATTTTGGTGCTGCAATATCTGGCGCAAACAAACACCAAGCTCAGCAAGTTCTTGAAGAGTTGGATGTAAGTAGTTTTAATTTCTCTACTTGGTGATGAATGATTTTGTGCTCAGACGGATGTTTGAGATACTTCCAATGATGAAGAGATTTTTTATGTCATCTACTGAAATATCTAAACCTTCAAACTTACTTGTATCTCAATATATTTGTGACCTGAAGAATTTTGTATGTTGTGTTAACGCAGGTGCATAAACGGTTACAACTTACCCTGGAGTTGGTGAAAAAAGAAATGGAGATCAGCAAGATTCAGGTACTTCATCTGTGCTTGTATTCTAGTCTTCTTCATCATTGTTTGATATATGTTTTTTACGGAATCGTGGATCACATGTAGGAATCAATCGCAAAAGCTATTGAAGAGAAGATTAGTGGTGAGCAGCGGCGTTACTTGTTGAATGAGCAGCTTAAGGCAATAAAGAAGGTACTAGACAAAAAGCCTCCAATTTTTATTTGTCCATGGTTATTGAAGTTAATAACAACAAGTATCATGGAAGCATCCTAGTGGACTGTTGTCAATATGCCCTAAGTTACTCCCTTATTCCGGTTATCTTTTTCAGTGTTATTTATTTCAACTTTATGTCCAAACAGAATAAATCTGATTTGTTGTGCTGCAGGAACTTGGTTTGGAGACAGATGACAAAACGGCACTTTCTGGTTAGTTCTTTTTCTTTTTTCTTTTAAATAATTAAAATTAAAGATCCAAGTTCATAAAAAAATAGGTGGTGTATTCTTACTTTTAAAATTGTAATTCCATATAATAGGAATGAATATAATTGAAACACGAGAGAAATTTGAATGAAATCAATAGTCTAATTTTTAGTTGATTCCATGTCCAATTCAATTAGGCATTTTAATGGTTCATTCTTTAACACGAAGGAATACAACATCCATGGTTATGAAATTAGAGATAAAAAGGAAATCAATTTAATTGTGCATCAAGTGTATAAATTGTGACTACCTTCTACCTATCAAATAACTAGGACCTAGGAATTGAATGAATGAGAATAGAATTGGTGTAAGCCAAACACAATAAGAGTTTTCAAGGTAGACTAAAAGTCATAAGGTTAATCTGATTGGTTCGACTCATTAGGTATTTCCTTTTTGTAATAATGGGTGTAAATTATATGGTTTTAGGTTATGGATGGGCTGCCTGATCACTTAGTGTTTGTATTTCAGTCTTCTTCCTGCATGCAGTGACCAGTCAGAAAGCAACAAATTCAAAGATTTTGCTAAGTAGCTTTGTGGGAAAATGCCTGTCTTAATAATCAAGCCATGCTAAGGCCTAACATGATTGAAAATTTAAACTCACATGTGTTGCTATAGATGGATGCTATGTGATATTATAACTAATCTGGATTTTGATTTCATGCTCATGTTATTTTGATTGTGCTAATTGCTGCTCTTTTGCTGCAGCAAAATTTAGAGAAAGGATTGAACCAAACAAAGAAAAAATTCCAGCCCACGTTTTGCAAGTTATAGAAGAAGAGCTTACAAAACTGCAGCTGTTAGAGGCCAGTTCCAGTGAATTTAATGTAACTCGTAACTATCTAGATTGGTTGACGGCTCTTCCTTGGGGAAATTACAGGTTTGTTTCTTATCAGTTGGATCCTGATCTCTTAGTTCTGAAAGAAAATATCTTGGATCATTGTCACTTTATTCTTTAAAAGAAATTGTATATCTTTTAGATTTGTCGGCTTTCTTGTGCAGTTATGCTTGTATTTCTTCTGAGGGAAGTTGACAGTTCATGCAGTTTGTAAAGAGGAACTACTTTCATCAAATATAATTATAAGAACCTTCTCTGTTCTTTATTTTTCTAGAAAAGCTTTACTTAGGTTGGTAAGAATATATGGACAAGCGATTATCCTTGTAATTTTTTAAGTAATTAAATAATGGGTACTGTACTTTATTTTGGATTCCAATTTCATAGTAGTGTCAGCACAGGCTTGCTTATTTACAGTTTGTTTCCTCAATTCCAAATGCAGTGATGAGAATTTTGATGTCATTGGGGCACAAAAAATTCTTGATGAAGATCATTATGGGTTAAACGATGTCAAGGAAAGAATATTGGAATTTATAGCTGTCGGAAGACTCCGAGGGACTTCACAAGGTTGGTAAAGCTTCTATACCATTGTGCACATATCTAAAAGTCCAAATACCTTTGACACTTCATGTTCTTTAGTTTAGCACTATTCTTTTCATTGTGGGTTTTTATTCAAGCATTTAACAAGCCCCTTTCGTCCATATACAATAATACACGAGAGAGTGGGGAGAAAGAAAAGGAAATCATCTTTGTATGTAGTACTAGAACTTGTACCCCCTTTTTGGTGCTTCTTTTATTTATTCATTTCTAAGAAGATCAAAGCACAATTGCTTATACGTTATCAATACATCAAATTCCAGGGAAAATCATTTGTCTCTCGGGCCCCCCTGGAGTAGGCAAAACAAGCATTGGCCGTTCCATTGCCCGTGCTCTGAACCGTAAATTCTTCCGGTTTTCTGTTGGCGGACTATCTGATGTTGCTGAGATTAAGGTTTTTAAAGCTGTTTTGCATTTAGATGATAATATTTATCAAGTTTTAAATCCTTCTAATTATCTCCTGTGTCGTATCTAGGGGCATCGTCGAACATACATTGGTGCTATGCCAGGAAAAATGGTCCAATGCCTGAAAAATGTAGGAACAGCCAATCCTCTTGTTCTGATTGATGAGATTGACAAGGTATAGTTTGGTTGTCAAAGAGTCAATATTCAAAATCCAAATGCAGTGCTTCTCCCCACACTTCCACCCCCCTCCCTCCTCCCTCCTCCCCCCAGAATAATGAATCGATCCTGTGGAGATTAATTTTTCATTTCTTTACAATATAGCATTCAGTTAGAAGGTATATTTTATAAAATGTTTATCTTTGTAATGCTTTTTGACAAATTATGTCCTTTGGCAGTTGGGAAGGGGACATGCTGGTGACCCAGCAAGTGCTTTGTTGGAGCTACTAGATCCAGAGCAGAATGCTAATTTTCTAGACCATTATCTTGATGTTCCAATTGACCTATCAAAGGTTAGCAGTGTTATTGGAGGCATTATGGTATCTATATTTCTCTTATGTCTTAACGAAATTGATAGTGACATTTAATTTGGACAAGCAACTATTTAACTATAAGTTTTTTCTTTTAGTCAGTTTTTCAGATGAATATTTTCAGAATGAATGCTAGATGAGATAACAGCCTCAAATTGCATGAGCTAGCTGAGATGATAAAATTTTCTGCAAGAACCTGCCTAACCCGCTTAAAAGATATCAACTAATATCCCTCTGATTTAATTATTGGAAAGTAACTTGTACCAAACAATACAAGCATCCACTCTATGATTCTTGACTTGTTTTTAATTTATATAATGTTCTTTATGCAGGTTAATGGATCCAATTATGGAATTAATCTCTTTCTACAGTTTTGCCTCTGTCTAGTTTTCTCCAGAATTTTCATCAAGTTGAAATGTTTTACTTGATACCTCATCCATTGCAAACTTATTACAGGTTTTATTTGTCTGCACAGCAAATGTTGTGGACATGATACCAAACCCTCTCTTGGACAGAATGGAGGTAATTGCTATTGCTGGATATATAACTGATGAGAAAATGCGCATTGCAAGAGATTATTTGGAGAAAGCAACACGGGAAGCATGTGGCATCAAGCCTGAACAGGTCTCTCTCTTATTCACTCACATTCTTTTATATAGTTCTTTTTGGGGTAAATACAAAATTTTGTTTTTGTCATTTTATTACTTAGTAATGAGTACCTTATTTAACTTAAAGAGTAATCTCATGATGCATGTGCAGCATACATCCATTCAAGAAGAAAGATAGAGATGCATGTATTTCTAGATAGCATACTGATTCATAAATGCATACAGCGACAGGGCAGTGAGAGGGAGGGTATATCCTGTATAAGATACATGCATATAAGAGAGAGGGGGGGAGAGAGAGACAGGTAAGTATAAATCCATTCATGGAGGGAGAGATGCATGTGTGTATACATATACACAAATGCATAAATGAATACATAGAGACAGGCAGTGGGAGGGTGAGCGTATACTGTGTAAAATACATGTATATGGTAGAGAGAAAGACAGATGCATGTATATGTACATATATTGAATGCATAAATGTATACACAGAGACAGGCAGTTAGAGAGAAAAGATATATAGATTTACATGTGAGTGTGTGAGAGATCAGAGAAAGAGATAGAGGGACCAAGGAGAGAGAAAATTTTAGACTATGGTTGCTTTTGTTGGCTTCAATATTGGTTATGTTAGGAAAGAATTTGACCTTTCTTTTATGTACATGTATGAATTATTTCAGGTTGAGGTGACTGATGGAGCGCTTCTTGGCCTAATAGAAAATTATTGCAGAGAATCAGGTGTTAGGAATCTCCAGAAGCACATAGAAAAGATCTATCGTAAGGTATGTTCAGCTATGCGTATTTAAACTCATGAGGGAAAACTTGGAATTGCCAAGACTCAAGATGTGGTTGAGACAGGTTGAAGGAACTCTATTTCTCTTCTGTTAATGACTGGTCTTATTTTGCAATACTAACATTTGAAACAGGAGAAAATCTCCTGATCCCTGAAACTTAAAATTTTCTTCCATGGCTTGCAGATTGCTCTGAAATTGGTGAGACAAGGAGTATCAAGTGAAACTGTGGTAGATGGAGAGGTTAAGGAACCTACTGGATCTTCCATAGAAGCAACCACAGTACAGACAGAGGATCATTCTTCTGAGCAATCTGCATGTTCAAAGGTATATTCTGAAAGTAATTAAATTCTGGAGTTACGGAATATGCATGACCATCTTGTACTTACTCATCTAAGAGTCTTGTCATATGATTAGTAATAATACTTAAGTGAAAATTTGAAGGTTTGCTAGTTAGAGGAGTGTTTATATGTGCATACCTATTCATTTTGGCAGGATGCAGCTGAAACTGAGAAAGTTGAAGAAAGTGAAGCGACTAAGACAGTTGAGAAGGTGTTGGTCGACTCATCAAACCTTACTGATTTTGTTGGAAAACCTGTTTTCCATGCAGAGCGCATTTATGATCAGACTCCAATTGGAGTTGTGATGGGTCTTGCCTGGACTTCCATGGGTGGATCAACCTTGTACATAGAGACAACAGAGGTTGAGCAAGGAGAAGGCAAAGGAGCCCTTCATGTCACAGGCCAACTTGGAGATGTTATGAAAGAAAGTGCCCAGATTGCTCACACGGTTGCTAGAGCAATCCTGCTTGAGAAAGAACCGGAGAACCCATACTTCACAAATTCCCAAGCTTCATCTCCACGTTCCTGCAGGGGCCACACCGAAGGATGGGCCAAGTGCTGGTTGCACCATGATCACCTTTATGCTATCTCTTGCCATGAAGAAGCCTGTTAAGAAGGATCTAGCAATGACTGGGGAAGTGACTCTGACAGGGAGGATCCTTCCAATTGGTGGGGTAAGTTAACAAACATAAAATTTCTTTCTATTTTGCCTGGTCTTATGTTACCGATAGATGCATATTCTTGGCTGTATATAGCATTTAGAATTCACTGAGGCAAAGATGTTCTGGGCATTTCTGATGACACCTTTTCCAATTCTCTAGAACATCTTCCCATCTTCATAATTGAACAATCTCTTTTTAACCTCTAAAATGATTGTTGCCCGAAGGCCTCTGGCCATCAATCAATTGCCATTTGTTTCCTTATTACACTATTTGTTGAAAGCTTTATTTCAATATTTTTCTCATATGGTCAGGGTATTATTTCGTTGAAGGAATATTCAGTTTCTTGAACTTCTAATTTTTCAATTGATTAATTTTGAACTCCTAATTTTTCATTCATGCTGAAAAAAAAAAAAAAAAACAGGTGAAAGAGAAAACTATAGCAGCAAGAAGAAGTGAAGTGAAGACCATCATATTCCCTTCGGCTAACCGGAGGGATTTTGATGAACTTGCACCCAACGTAAAGGAAGGGATCGACGTTCACTTTGTAGACGAATACAGCCAGATATTCGAT